GCCTCATGATGATTTGTCCTGATGTATGCAAAGCCTCCGCCCTCCCCAAAAAGTGTACTTAAGCAGCACTGCTTAACCTCTGCTCTGGGCTCTGGGCTGCTCTCCCTTCTTGAGTGAGCACAGAGCCCCAGCGCGCTGGAATAGATCCCCAATAAATCCCCTTCTGCAATTGCATGAGTCAGTCTCTTGGTGGTCTCTTCCTCTGACGCTTCGCCGGACCCTTATACTCTAAAGTTATTAATGTTTTGGCAATTTGCTCTAAAATTCTAAATTTCTTTTGAATCAATAAAGATTTAACAATGACAAGAGAACATCACCTATTACATGAACTTGCAAAACCTTCCCTATCAACCACATCAATTTTAATTTATACTTCCTAATATTAATTTAGAAAGCAAAGAACAGTTTTGAAACACAGCAATATTAAATACAGTGGTTGAATTGGTTTTCTACCTCAAAGTCATGCTCATTAAAATGTTCAAAATTTTATTAGCACTACTGAAAGAAAATCTTTAGAATCCTGCCACTAGGTTAACCTTATCTTTTATAAATGATTAAGGGTCACTTTTATTAACAGTACCCACAGGCACATTTTTTGTGTGCTGAAGAACATTTATGTTTTTATTTCCAAAGTACTCACATCCTTCAATAATTTCCATTTACTACATTTTTTTTTCTAAAATATATTTAGATTTTAATATATAAAAGAAAGTCACCCTCTCTATTACAAAATTGCAAGTATTTTTCCAATATTATCAGTGATATTTTCAAATAAAGGACTTTGCTATTTATAGACAAAATTATTAATATAATGCTAATTATACTCTTTAGCTTTCTGGGTTTTGTAATTTTAAAAAAATGATGATTTTTTTTCCTATTTCAACATGTTTAAACCCCCACATTTAAATCTAACTTTAATATATGTTCATTTTTAATATAAGACAGGAAAGATATTTAGAAATAATAATAATTGTCTTCAAATAACTTAACATAATTGGAAAGATAAAAAGAGGAAAAGTAAAAAAGATGTAAAATACAAGAAACAATAGCTAGCCCAGGACAGGCTGAGTCCTTTGGCACCATGTGTAAGATGAAGAGGTTGGGCTTCAGATGCTACTTTAAAGATTTGTATCTACAAAGAGAAAAAAAAAAGAAAGATGTATAATTCAAAGGACTAATATAATAAAGCTGCTATGACTGAAATATATAACCCCCCTCTAACAATTCATTTAATCTCATTTTTCTAAATTTGAAACATGGTTGAGGCATTATAGTTATGCTTGTTACAAAAGGTGTAATTTAGCTGACAAGAATTTAATCAGGTATCCCATGTACACATCATTTTAGTTTAAATTTTCATCTAGCACTTGCCTGTTGTTTACTATTGATAGACAGCAATAAATGATGAAATTTATGACAAAGTCTAACACTTAAGGACACTTGAGAACCAAAAAAGTTAAGATTAATTTTCATCTTTAAAGCTATACAGTTCAACTCATTGTTGCTTTTAATGAAATATGTGAAGATTGCAGGAGAGAAATAGCTAATGAAACACGAATGATAATATAAATGAAGAATTTAACTGATTTTTGTCAATTTATGATTCAAGATGGACAAAAGTAATTTTCATTGATGACATTCAATTTAATTCCTCCGTCTTTCAAGAAGAACATATATTAATGGAAATTTGTTTAGTGAGAAGATTTTATTATTGGTATAGTCAGATGAAAATGAGAGATATTCATCATTCAAACATACTTTTGAAATCACTGATAACAGCGAATAACTTTATATACGAAAGTATGACTTGAGCCTCAGTGTTATCCTTTGGAGCATTTTATTTCATTTGAAGGAAAATGAATCTATATACTGACAAAATTTTATTTTCTTTTGTGTGAGGAAATTTTTATTTTATACCATAAGAAAGAGATTATAATAAAATCAAACTTATACATGAACTAGGTATGTAAGGCATTTTCCCAAAGCACTTTTTAAATTTTTATTTTTATTTTAGTTAGAGATGGACACAGTATCTTTATTTTATTTATTTATTTTTATGTAGTGCTAAAGATCAAACCCAGCACTTTGGGTGTGGTAGGCAAGTGCTCTACAACTGAATCACAACCCCAGGCCCCCAAAGGCATGTATTTTTTTACCATTGTCCCTACAATCATTTTCTCAATTAACAAAAAGTCACTGGTACTTGTGCAGTATAGAAGTCCTCATTCATGGCACTGGAGTGAATGTGACAGCTACAACACAGTATAGCCTTTGTTACTACATGGTTATCTCTTAAGAATGGCAAAATCTGTGTATTAGTCCTACATCTTTCTCTAGTTTTAAATTTTCGTTTACATTAAATTTGTTCAGTATTGGCTCTGGAAGAACCTTGATTAACCCATATTTTTTACTGTGTGTCCATCATATCTCCCTGCTATGTCAAGAATCCAGAGAAAGGAATGAAGGTGATACTGTGTCAAGTTTCTTGTTCCTGTGGCCATAGGAATGGCTGTTGGTCCCCAGAGAACCATGGGCAATAGCGAATGCAAAATACTTCATCCAGGAAATGAAATTTTTAGAATTAAGGACAAACAGGAGATTCTAAAAATGAAATAATAACTATAATAAATAATAACTATATTCTAAAATGATGTAGTCTAATGGAGCAAGGAATTTTCCTGATACCCCTAAATCTAGACAGATATTTATATTTGAAATTCTGATAGGAAAAAACCTGATTTCCCAAATCATCAGAGAATCTCAAAATTATGAATCATTCTTGACTAGTTGAATATTCTTCAGCCTCATTAATATGGATACTCAAATTTTAATAAGTTGGACACAGTTGTAAAAGTTGTAGTCTATAGATAATATCCATGGACTATAAAATGCCAAAAAAAATAATTAGGACAGTATTTGGTCTTTGTAATATTTGTATCTTTTAATGGGGTTTAAGTCCTTCACAAATCATATGCAGGCTTGACTAATTATGGACATATTTTGTTTCTGAAATTTATTTCTTAGAAAACTACTAACAGGTTTGTATAAAGAATACTAGATATGCTGGGCATGTGGCACATACCTATATATAATCTATTTTGATCACAAGAATAACACATGTTAAGCAGCAAACCAGGGCCAAGGACACACTTTTTAAAAATATTTATTTATTTTTAGTTTTAGATGGACACAATATCTTTATTTTACTTTTTAAGTGGTGCTGAGGATCAAAGCTAGTACCCCGCTATGACACACTATTTAACAAGGAGTGTAAAGAAAACTGACTAGACCATTACTGCCCTCCTACCCTCCCTGGACCATGTCTTTTCCAGCTTTTTGGAAAGGTTGAGCCTAAACCTTAGAATTATCTGTTAGGATTTTGTTCTCACTTTCTATTTAATACCTATGAATTCCTTGTACTTCTCTAGCCTGATTAGTATGGTGCATTTCCTGTTGGAGAATTATAATAATGTTTTCAGTTTTACAAATTTCTGAACAGATTTTTCTCAAAATTTGAGGTTTAGAAAGACGTGTTAAGTTCCCATAAATGCTAGGAAAACTTGCATCTTGAGCCACAAGTATAATGGCCCTAAGAAGCAGACATATAAGCATATCACACATTATGTTTGTGCTTTTTTTACATTTTATGCCACAACAGCAAAGATCTGGTCAAGTAGTTTGGTTTCCATTTGTTCATAGAAAATTTTTTTTCTTCAATTCAATCTATATTTAATGTCTGACAATTAAATAACCAGGACAACTTATTTTTATTCTTCTTTCATTTAAGGTCAGATCCATGAAATATCACAAAAAAGAGGCCACAATGATGGATAAAAATTATCAAACCAAAAAAACTAAATTCCAAGAAGCACCAAGTCAGAAGGGTCAAAGCCCCTATACAGCTTCCTAATATCATGTAAAGTTTACGTCACTAGTGGTTACAGTGATTGTAAAATATGGTAGATTTAAAGAATAATTAAATCATGCATGTAGAGACTGCTAAGTGTCTCCCCTATTTCCCTTACTTTCATATGGAACTCTTAATTTTTGGTGGATCTTATGGCAAACTGAAATAAAATATATCTGTCATCTGACTTTTAGTCAAAGAGTGGCATATGCCAGAGAACAGAAAATGAACTGCAAAATAACAACTTCTTCCAAGAAACCTCCCACTGAGCAGATGATGTACATTTTTGCATGTTCTACATGGCTGCAAAATTAACCAACATGATGGCTGGCATTTTATTCTGGACCATGGGGATGAGATCTTTAATGGACATGTGGCAGTAGAAATTGAGAAGAGTCTGGGTGATTGCTGAGTTGATTGCCTACGTGTCTTTATTACTGTCAGAGTAATATAAAATTTTAGATTTGAAACCACTATTTCTATGGCACTGGATTGCACATTCAAACACAAAATTCACAGATATGAAGTATGGTAGCAGGAGTGCTCTTCTAAAGTAAATCTGCACTTTAGAATTGATAAAGTGGAGACAAGTAGAAATATATGGACCACAGACTGGAGAGCTATTGAGCTTCTTTGGGTTTTAGTGAATGTTCATTTGCTCCACCCTAGAAGATATATCACAGTTAATTTTGTAGCATTAAGGAAAATGATCGAATTATTTTCAAAATGTGCTTTATGTTGACTTTTTAAGTTTTTCATAACAGTCTTGCAAATAATAGAAAGTTTTATGCCTAGGGTAGATGGAATAAAAGAGAGACAGACCACACATCTTTGATAAACAAGTCTTTTCATGCCTGAAATCTACTGTCAAAAGATGTGAAAATTTTCATGGTGGAAATTATGGAACTTCACCTTCATCTCAAATTGCAACCAGGGAGAGAGTGTCTGCCTAGCCACAATCTTAAATGATATGTATTTCTATATAAATATTATGACCTGGTTACCAAATATGACCACTATATCAAAAGGAGAACACATAGAGCACAGAGTCTAGAAGAAGAAAGAAATTACACAAATTTTAAAAATCTGTCTAGCGCTTACTTTGGCAGCATATATACTAAAATTTGAACTATACAGAAGATTAACATGATCCCTTCACAAAAATGACACTCAAATTGGTGAAGTGTTCCATATTTTTTAGTCAGTCCCCCAAAACCAAACATCAAATGTTTACTCTGATATGTGGATGCTAACTCACAATAAGTGTGAGGAGAACAGAGTTCTGTGGATTAGACAAAGGAGAATTAAAAATGGATGGGAATAGGAATAGGATAGACAGTGGAATAAATCTAACATAAGATTGCTAAGTTTATATGTGATTATAACACAGTGACTATCACCATTGTATACATCCACAAGACTGGATCCATATTAGAATAAGATATATTGCATGTTTGCATAAATATGTCAAAATACATTGAACTTTCATGTATAACTAAAAATAAAAAATAAAAAAATCTGTCTAGATGAAATCTTTCATTGAGATCATTTACAAATATTACAACAGACTAAAAACACATATAATTTGAATATGCTTTTCAGGAAAGGTTATTGCCAAAAATGTCTTAAATTGTCTTATTTTAAAGCTACCACCAAGTCCAAACTGTAGCAATGTGGAATGGGCTATGAAATCTCTACCAATCTCAGAAAAGGCAAACTTTGCAATGTTTATCTGATATATGACCATGGAAAGCTAAGGAGTAAGAATACAACTCTCTCCTCCCCCTGCATGTCAGGAGTCATGATACACAATGGAGAAAGAATGTCATCCTAGAAAGAAGAATCAAGAACTTGGAGAGTGGACTAGAAAGGAAACTTGCTCTACTATCAGAGTTATTTTCTTTATTTTTCATATTTAACATAGTTTACTATTTGTAATTATTATAAGCTAAACCATTTCCTAGGTTTTTACTCTTAATGAAATAACTAGTATTAGATCATCATTATATGGAGAATATGTAGTACAAATATCCAGTGTTTCAATTTGTAGGTTTTAAAAAGTGTATAGGGGCTGGGGATGTGGCTCAAGCGGTAGCACACTCGCCTGGCATGCGTGCGGCCTGGGTTCGATCCTCAGCACCACATACAAAACAAAGATATTGTGTCCGCCGATAGCTAAAAAATAAATATTAAAATTCTCTCTCTCTCACTCTCTCACTCTCTCTTTTAAAAAAAAGTGTATGGACTCTGAACTTCTATTTTGGTCTGGTAAAGAGAATTGTATGTAACTCAGAGATCTCAAACTTACAAATAAATATCAGTAACAATGGTAACATTAGGAATTCCTCACTTGGTAATGTGGTGAATAAGATATACACAGAAAAAGGAAAGCCCATGAATATACTTATAAACACAGTACCATGAGAAAGTCCTGTTCTGAAGCCAACCCACTTACATTTGTATACCTGACTTTTTCTTAGGCATTTAGGGACATGATATGATAATAGTAATACTACTAGGGTTCCTTTACCACTACACAGATTTATGCATCCACACCATATCCAGTGGGATATAAACAGTGATCTATGTGAAACATTTAGACAATGTCCTTGAATGATGCCTTTTACATTCCTCTAATCTCCTGTTACACTGAGATTAGAGACATTTCCTCATTTTTATTTCTGAAAAGTATTGATTTTTTTTACAATGAGATACAAATGTTATTTCTGTAAAGAGTTTGAGTCATTTTATGAATGTCAATTTACCCAGTTCACTTTTCAGTACTTATAAGACTACTTGGTTTTTACCAGAGATTCAGAAGCAGTATGTACATAGTGATATTTATCATAAGACATTTATTCTAAACACTTATTTTTTTCCAAAATATAGATGATTAGAATACAAATGAGATGTCTTTATTTCTATTTGCCTGATTATGAAGAAACACACATCCTAGTTGCTATAGTGTGAATCTGCAATGTTCTCCAAATACCCATAGGATAAAGGTTTGAACTTCAGTTTAAAATTATTGAAAGGTGGTGGAACTGGGTTGGGCCTCTTGAAAGTTAGGTTATTGGGGACATGCCATTGAATGGGGATATTGAGATCCCTCACCCGTTTCTCTTTCCTTTTGCTTTTCTCCCTCAATGAGGCAAAGGACTTTATTACTAGTAAATTCTCAGCAGGATGTCATCAGCCATATACATATAGGTAAACAGAGATAGATAGAGATATACACACATGCATATCATGTGTATACTTCCAGGTAAATCATACCAAGAGCCACTTTGCTGCAGTATCAAAGAGACCCATTTATGAAAAATACACAACTGTAGTAATGATTAAGAATCAATTTTCATCTAATACAAGGAAGATAAGCTCCTTTACTTTCTGAGTACATTTTCTGATTGAGAATGACAATACAAATCTCCTGTTAAACTGAGATTAGAGATACTTCCTCATTTTTATTTCTGAAAAGTATTGATTTTTTTTTTTACAATGAGATTCAAATGTTATTTCTGTAAAGAGTTTTAGTCATTTTATGAATGTCAATTTACCCAGTTCACTTTTCAGTACTTATAAGACTACTTGGTTTTCACCAGATATTCAGAAGTAGTATGTACATAGTGATATTTATCATAAGACATTTTATTCTAAACACTTTTTTCCAAAATATAGTTAATTGGGAAAAAAAATCCCTCCTTCTTTCTTTATTTAATAATTTATTCAGTGAAATTTGCATAACAAAAACTTAATCATTTGAAAGTGAGAAATTTAGCACAATTTAATACATTTTCAATGTTGTAAGCTACAACCTCTATCTACTCTCAAAACACCCCATCAATTCAAATAGATGTCCAAACCTATTAAGTGATTTTTCATTAATGCTCTTTCACTCAGTTCCTTGCAACTCTAATTTGCATTCTTTCTCTATTGATTTTAGGATATGTTCTGTAAATATAGTTAGACACATGTGACCTTTTATACCTGATTTCTTTTAATTAAGTTTTTTAATGGTACAACATATATTAGCATATATCAGTACTTTATATTCACATGGTATCATGTTGTGTGAGGGTGTGTGTGTGTGAGACTGTGTGTGTGTGTGTGTGTGTGTGTGTGTGTGTGTATGTACCACAGTTTGTTCATGTTTCTTCTGTTGATGGGCATTTGGACTGTTTCTATCTTTGGCTATTGTGAATGATACTGTTATGCTTGAATTTGGGGCCCCCAAAAGACCACCAGAGACCAAGATAGATGTAAGCGGCAAAGAAGTGTTTATTGCAAGCTAGCTTGGTCCTCCATGCGCACACACAGCAACTGGTGATGCTGAGAGGCCCCAGCCCAGGGTTTGCAGCAGTTTTATACATTCTTTGGAGAAGGCAGGGACCCCCACATACATCATAGCATCTCTTAGCAAATCATCACACACCGCGGGAAAATCAAATAACAACTATAAATCATGATTAGCACATTCACTGGCGAGAGCAAGTTGGGTAGGGGTGATTGGTTACTTGCAAGAGGGGGATTCATTTGAACTGATTGGTTTAAGCCAAGAGAGGTGTTCCTGCTGAACTACATGGTTTCCCAATGTTATCAACCACCATAAACTACTGGAGGGTCATTTGGCATCCCAGGTATTTCCCTGTCTCATGCTGATTGGTGGCTGCTAGGGGGTTGCTATGGATCTCCACCTAGCCTGACTGAGTCAGGAACACCTGGGTCATCAGATCTCTCCTGTTATTTGTAGATAAACAACTTAGCCAGGTGGGAATGTGCCTAGGAGTGCTCTGTGGGTCTTTCCAAGGACAAAGGTTATTCCTTTCCCTGGACAGGCTTTGCTCTGAGGTGGAGACTGGTTTTTCAGTACTCTTAGGGGCATGAGTACCTGTGCTTGTTTTAGTACTTATTACAAATCCCAGGAGTAGAATCATGGGATCATGTAGTTTCTTGTATGCTTAACTTCTTAAGAAACTTTTAATTGCTTTTTTTCAACATAAATTTGATTTTTGGAGAAAAAAAATGTACCATAATCTTTCCAGAAATTTATGAATTCTTCAATTTCTCCAGATGTACATCAATGTTTTTTTTCAAGTTTAAAGAATTATATCTGCCTCAGAACATATAAGTGTAATACATTCTTGTGATTTTGGTGTGCATTTGCCATATGATTATTGACATTGGACATCTTTTCATATGCTAAGTAGCTATTCATATATTTTTGGAGAAATGTCCATTAACTTTTAATTAGGTTGATTTTTTATTGTTGAGTTTAAGCATTCTTTGTATAATATGAATACTATTATTGTATATGTAATATTAAAACACTTTTCCCCCTTCTAGAGGCTATCTTTGCATTTCCTTAAAAATGTACTCTTAGGGACTGAAAAAAAAAAATATATATATATACCAATGTGTCTATGTTTGAAGTTAAAGACATAAGAAAGATTAAAAGTTGTCATAAAGTTTGGCACTTATTTATAGAGGCAAAGTTCTTAGAAAGAAGGGACAACATAAAATTATATACACAGGAAAGGCCATGTAAGGACACAGAAGAAGTCATCTATCTGCCAACCAAGGACAGAAACCTCAGGAGAAACCAAACCTTCAAACATTTTGATATTGGGCTTCCTGCTTCCAGAACTGTTACCGCTGTTGGCTGGTGACGAGTCCTTGCTTCCCCAATGTTGAAGAATAACACCAGAAAAGCACACGCCGAGGCAAGGTCAGAGTAGAGATTAGAAGTTTATTAAAGGACAGCAGAAAAGACTTCTCCCAGAGGAAGAAGGGGACCCAAAAGGTGGAGTCCAGTTGGCGGGCAAATATGTTTCCCTTTTTATAGGTTTGGTGATGGAATGCAAGGGGGAAGGGTTAGGACATAGGTGGACCTAATTATCACCTTTTGGGATGGGCTTATCACTTCTCTGGGATGGGCTATCTCCAAATCTGTTGGGGCTGTTTCCTGGGCTCCATTAACATTTCTTTGAGGAGGACTTTGGCCTAGGGCCTTTTCGGGACTTCATCAACATTCCATGAGTTGTCCTGTGTTTTCCTGAGTCATTCCCAGCATGGCCTCCATTTTAGATTTCACTCCATATTAGACCCAATTTACCTAACTACACTGACTACCTAATTTTAAATCTGGCTTCATTCCCCCCTCTAATTTGGGGAACTCCTTACTGCTTAAGGAATAGGGGT